CAGATTTTGAAATGTTCAGAAAGTAAATTCTGTGATTGTATACACACGTTAGTGAGTAATTATGTTTTATTGTTAACCGACACAAACACACACAACAAGATTGAAGGTACACTAAGACAAAATCTCACTCAAGGTCAAAGAATGACTCATAAACTTTAATCCTGTTGGTCAAGATGGTATGATAAGCACATTTTCGTATACTGTTTTCAATTAAAAGTTCCTCTGATAAAGGTTGTGTGAAAGGGTGAAACGCATAGAAGATCCTATCATTTGTCTTTTGAAACAATATATATCATTATTCAAGCCAGTCAATCACACACAACTCAAGATCTGACACGAATATCCACTGGTTCAATTCGCGACATTTATTAACAAAGTGAAGTGAAATTCGTAAGATAAATGACGGAATAGTACCATGTTAGTAGAAAAAATAATACAATTGGAGAAAGAATTAATTTGTGGAAAAGTACAAGATGATTTTACAACTCAAGATATAAGGAGAGATAAAGAAGAACACATGATAGGCTGGGCTGATACAGGCATATCATGTGTCTATGTACACATGCTACTCCGAAACCAGATGGCAGGTGAGAGGGGCTTAGGTTATCCAGTAGTGAGTGAATTTCCAGCTTTATGGCATTTTGACGGCCGGATTTTTCGGTTCCACCATCTTTATAAACCATTAGACGTTTCGTGTCTTTCTTACTATCTGTGTAGTGTCAAACAAGATATACGACTAATTGAAACCGCTCATATATTGTATCAGTCTTGACATAAATATCTGATGGACAGATAAATGTGTATTACCAATCACTTTAACAACTTCCCATTCACTCAGACTTTTTCATGTACCAGGTCTGGCTCGAGTATATTAACAGTGTATTTCATTATCTAGTCGGTTTACCATACAGAATAACAGTCCATATGCGCTATTGTTCATGTTTTACAAGTTTATTATTAAAAGCGATGGGTTTCTTAGTAGTGATTTTTACCCCATAATAGGTGTGTCTGTAATGCTATTCTGAATTCTGAAAATTAACCAGTTATTAGATATATATTGTGAACTGTTCTAACATGAAGTAAGTAATTACTTCAACACTGGTAGTCCACAGTTTTATAGAAATAGGTATTTACTATGTTATGAATATGTCATAGTATCGATGAAGAGTTATTTTACTTAGATTAAATGCATAGAAAAGCTTATTCATATTTCACCTATGTAGAATATTTCTAGTAAATGTGAAAGAAACTTGACGTTTTTAAGATGATGACTTCTTGGAAATCATTGATAATGAAGTGAAACTAGACACGTTATTAGGATTTCTTTACTTATTTCAATAATCATAATACAATAAATTAGATCTTAAATTATCTTCTTAATCTATCTAACTTAAATACAGCTTAGTCTATTAATCCAGTTAATCAATGTGAATAAAGAAACGGAGAACCGAAATTGTACAATTATTAATGATTTTATTTAACTTATATTTAGTGCATAGATTATACATGACTGTTTACATCAAATTAAAATATAACATTATACGATGTCATTTACTCGATATAAACAACGTTTATAATTTAAATACAACTGTTCATCAATATGTAAATGTAAATAAAATCTCATTTACGACTGTCTGATATATTTTAAATATTAACTAAATAGTTAGATATTAATGATGCCTTTTGACAACTTTTTCTTGTGATATTTCGTCAGTGATTAAAAATAATCAGAAAGAAGCCTTGAACATAAGTTTCGAGTTGTCAAAACATTATAAATACGTGAAACGATAGCTATAGATTATTTAAGATAATGTTTATTTTGATGGAATTTTTGTTCTCTGAGTTGGATGGTTTGGTCGTGGAGCTTTTGTCGTTCTTCTAGCTGAAGTTTGTGCTAATGATGTTTTTCAGAAGAACGATGAAAGCTCCAAGATCAAATCATCCAGCTCACAGAATAAAACTCCATCAAAATCATCCACCCGATCTACAAATTTTCTTCACCATCTCAAAATTATATGAGCGTAATACACTTCTCGGTGTTTAAAAATGGGAGAATTTCGCCAAAAGGCAGGCTTCCACTAGAGAACAACTTCATTTTCTCCACGAGTGTCTACGCCAGCATGTTCTACGAACAAGTGTAAGATACAGACCTCCAATCAACTACCCATTCGGATGGAGAATAGCTGAGCAAAGTGGAAGAAAAATGGTGCACCTAATGATAATGGATTCACATTCCAGGATCCGCAAACACCAACACGTCATAGAAGACCAAAAGAAGCTACAAAGTACACTCACGTCAGAATATTTGGAAATCTTGACAACAGCCATCGAGATATCATGCTAAGATAATGTTTATTATTACATAAAACTAACAGAAACCTAAGCGCTATAAGAAAAGGTATGAAAGCTAAACTCATTAGGCTGTGGTAGTAATTAAATGAAGAGTAAAACTGGAAAAGGTGTGCGAATGATTCATTTGTGAAAGCAGTTGTAGATTAGCCACGAAATCTTTTTTGAATACGAAGATTAGTTTTAAGGCTTCTAATTGCCACAGCTTCCACAAATTTTAATAGAGTAGGCTTTGGTTGTTTACTCACTGCTTTGTATTTACTTATTTAATCTATATTATGTCCCGTCTCAATCAGATCCTGCTCTATCGAACTCCCAAGACCATTTTTCCCCCAGAGTCATAAGTTCTATGGTATATACCCAATAAGACCTGTGAATGCCAACCTTTCTGTTCTTTGTAAACACTAAAATAAATACATGTATATGAATATTTTTCTCAACGGACTATTCATTTTGCAAGTCTGAAAATCAACTTATTCAAGTTGCTTAGGAAAATTCCATATACGAAAAGTATGTAGTTCGTTATTTCGGTCAGTAAGTCATATAAATGACAATAAGTATTTAATATCAAGCCAATCTATCACGCTGTCAATGGATTTGTGGTATTGAATAATAACAATAATAATAATAATAAATGGCTTTTCTGACTTCAAAACAGAAAAAGTATAAAGATTATTACTTAAATTGTAAACGTCACTATCAAAGTTTGACCTAATGATTTCAAATAAATTAAACACTAAGTTTATTGATCTTAATAATAGAAAATTTTCACATCCTTAATATAATTTAGTCATAATCATCTATTGTCATCCGTGACGACGAGATAATTGCCCAGTGATCATTAGTTTCCTATAGTATTCCAAATGAGGTCTATTAGTGATGAATACCACCTACACATTTGTAATATGTAAATGAGTAGAAAATTTGTAATTCTAACATTTTACGACATGCTGTTGTTTACTTATCCAAGGAATAAATAACTCCCAAAAGTTAGTTTAAGTTTAAATACTACATGGAACGAAGCCAATCCAGCAGTTATTACTCACAAGGACTTCTGATCATTCTACTGTCGTGTCATTCAGCTCAGAGTAGCTTCTGCATGAAATATGTTTTCATGTATTCGTACTTATATATGTGGTATGAATAAATGTAATTTTTGTTTGATTAAGTGATTTAATTTGTATACATGTTTGTTGTGTGAACTTCAATAGATTAAATGTTACACAGGGCGAATATATTTTTCAAGTTAACTAGATAGTTAATCCTTCATTTCTTTTGATTCTAGTAAGATTTAACAGTAAATTAAATACCTCTGTTACTAGTTTTACGCTCGAGTTATTTTAGTATTAGTTTGTCAGTTTTACGGGTGACACTTACTTTTAATAATCATTCAGAGTGTAAAGCTTCAAGTTCCTTTTCGTTTTCAGTTATTTGATTTTTAGTTCCGATATCTAGCCTAACTTGTACTTCCCCCCGGAATCCGGAATTGCGTGACCGATCTTCACAGTCTAAGACTCTACCACAGAGCTGTTCGGTCCGTCATAAACATACATATGTACATTCTATGTAAAGGACTATGATACTAACCAGTTGCCCAAATAAAATCGAGTGGGCAGAGTTTGAATAGTTTGAATTATTGAATAAACGTCGAATACTTTAATAACTAATTCACTGTCAACATACTTTGAATTTCGATATCAGCTTACATAATCGCCATTATTTTCCAAAGCATAATGTCCTTAACAAACTACACTTCCAAATGACTAGCAGAATGTCTAATTTTATCTCTTAATAGTTTCTTAACGAATATTACAGTCAGCTATGTTTTTAAATAACTTTTTGCTTGCTCAACCACTGTAGAAGTTAACCAAGTTTTCATTGGAGAATTGAAATATTTCGAATATGAATCCTTAAAAACTTTCATGTTTACACCAAGATTTAAAGCTATTATATTGACAGTTTTGTTCAAAATACGACTCTTCTAGGAACTAAATCGCGTATACCAGTCATTCATAATATGAAAGCTAGTATCAATTATAAATTTGCAGTGATTATTGAAATTTGTTGGCCATAAAACAAGACAATAACTAGACTATATTGTTGCTACATTTGATGAAAGGCTCTATGTTGACCATGACTGACTGACTTTTGATGTCCAGTGATAAACAATAAAAATAGAAATATTAATGAAGAACATTGGTTCTTCAGGATGAGGGTTTGAAAGGTGTTGTATGCTCTGAGCTTGATAGAAGTACTAAAATATTTTAATTCAGGTTTTTGGGTGAGTAGCAATATCCATCTCCTTGTATAATGCTTAATGTTGATAAGCTTCGAAGGTCAATAAACCTAGATTTAGAAATTTCTAAAAAATTGAAAACCGTTAAAAACTGTTTCTGGAGTTTTAGATGGAATATATGACATTGAGAGAAGACAGATAACTACCGACAATATCCAGTGATGACCACATAACACAATAAATGTGGACAGTAAAATATTAACGCAGCAGCTTGTAGTTTTGAGACTTACATATCCTAGAGTACAAGTGGTTGGTGCTTACAACCATCAAAATACTAGTAAGCATCCACTCATGTCTCTCTTGTTTTCGAGAACTCATCAACTGATATCTTATACTAAGAATAACAAGCCAAGTTAATTCAACTGATTTCATTCGGGATGAGTAAAAATAGAAAGACCAAATCGTTTAAAATAATAACAATGTTAATAGTTTCTATACATTATAGGGTAATGAGCACTGTAGATAAGATGCGTGTTACCGACAGGGAATTTACGTAGACTGGATTGTGTTTTCATAACTGTGTATCAAGTGATTATGAACTTCAATGAAAGATGTATCTGACAAAAATTTACAGTTCTTGTATGTACAGATATGGTGTTTATGATGGCGATGTTCATGACAGTTGTACTGAAAGTCTACGCAACTGAATGTTTCCTTAGTGTCGTCAAGTAAGTATTTTATCTTATCGTGAATCTGTGCTGCAGTAGGACGTTTGTGTGGATTATAAGACCACATTTGACACATCATCTCCCATAATTCATCGTTCACTAGTATAGGTCTATCTAATGTGGACGGTGGTAATAATCTCTGACAATTCGTCGTTTTCTTCAACGTGTATCCTGAAACGTTCGAATTACAATCTGTACCATTATTCTTGTTGTTATTAAGATTATGCTCTGATAACATACCTACTAATTCTTGAAATGTTTTAATCTCTTGAAATGGTTCACGTTTTTCCAAATGAAATAGTTCCCATATCAGTAAACCATATTGCCATATATCTGAACTAAAATAAAATTTATGTTGTAACAATGCTTCAGGTGGTAGAATTCGAAGAGGCAATTTTTTTCTTGGCGTCAATACACGATAATATTCATCGATCAGCTGATCTTCATTAAATTCACCATCAATATTATAGATATCATCATTTGTTAACCCATTCATTGGAGTCATTTGTACAGCCAAACCAAAATCACTAATCTTCGGTATATAATTATGGTTAATTAGGATATTTCTAGTGGCTAAATCTCTATGTATTACATAATTCTTCACCAGATAAACAATACCTGATATAATTCCGTAAGCGAAACGATATATCTCTTTTACAGTCAATCTATACTCTCCCAATGTCGTTCTATCATGAGTATTCATCTTGGTGTCTTTCATATAGAAATTGGTCAGTTGAACCTCCTCATAATTCATTAAACTATCTACAATTTGATGTGAATGACATCGGATAAAATGAGCTAAACTTTTGTATTTACAACATTCAAGAATCAAATTCACACCATTCAATGGGCTCCTGTTCCTCTTCAGGTTACTTTCAAACATTATTCCAATCATTCTGATTATGTTATCACAGTTAGTTAAGTTTGATAATATACGTATTTCATTTTTTAAACATATTAATTTACTGCTATCGTTAGTATTATTGCTGTTAACAGTACTTTTTTCAACCATGGATGATACTTTCAATGCAACAATATAATTTTCAGTATCCTCTCTTAATAGTATATCCTTGAATTCATTATTCAACGTATCTTTAATATATGAACTGTGTAACCATGCTTTAAATACTGAACCATAATGCCCCGAACCAAGTGGATAATTGGATCGTTTGATAAATTTACGTGGTATAATCCATTTATTGATTTGATTCATAGAACTTTTTGAAGTACTGGTGGTTGTTGTTGTTGTGATATTAGTAGTATCTTGAACAGTAGTATTAACAGTGAAACCTAAAAGTTGACTTAACACTTGTTCAATAGACTTATAATCTTTACTCAAACTATATGAAGTTAGTAATGACGATGATGATGACTTATAATGGTATGAATGAAGACGATTATAAATATTTTTATAAAGAACATTTGGAAGTGATATATCTGAAGAACATTGATTTTTATAACTTATTTTATAACATAACCATAGAATAATACTCAATGTAATGAGAATTAAAATTATTGGCAATATAATTAAATAAATCCATGAAACGAATTTCTTCATCATTTGTAATTTTATGGTTTCATTGGAATGAATCGAAGTAGTATCTAGATAAATCAGTTTGATTTGTTTAAATGCATTGCCTGCAATATTTTTGGCTAAACACTGATAATGTGATTGATTTAAAGTATCCTTTGAAGTTAACAGTAATGTTGATATGTTATATATGCACGTTTGAATTTCTTGATCACCATTTATACTAATATTAAACTGTATTTTATTTTCATCTACTGAACATGTATGTACATTTTCCCATTTAATAAATGATTCACTCTGGTTATAAACTGCTTTCATCCATTGTATACTTGGTTTTGGTGAACCAACAGCTTGACATATTAATTCTATGCTATTTTTAGTCATGTTATCAGTATTAATACTGTAATTTAATACAGTATGTTGTTGTAAATTTGTTCTAATTAGTTGTACATTTTCAGTTGGTTTCAAAATCTTCGGTACATTTCGTTTAAACGTATGAATTTTGATTACGAATTGTTCACTTTTATATGAGCATTTTAAATGAACAACAAGTGATTTGTTCAAATGGATTATTTTTCTAATCTTTAAAGAATAAGGAGATAATATCCAGAATGTGCTATTAGTCAAGTGATCTTCAGTACTATTTTGTGTATTAATAATGGTCAATTCAGGCCATTCTTTTAGTTTGAGTTGTTCAGGTTTTGTGTGCATTTTACGTATACACTCTAAACTCATAGATGTACTTTGAACTAGAGAAATTTCCGAATTGTTAAGTTGTGAGTTTACTTCATGAAATTGTGAAGAGTTATTTAATTCAATAACAAAATATAACTGCCATTTTTTCCTGATATTTTGAATATGACGATTGTTTTCAGTGTTTTTGAATGTATCAATTACATTGAAATCATTAAACGCTGCACAACTTTCTTGACCATTAAAGTACATTCCTATTTCATAAACACTGCTACACCTTACACATAATTTCTCAGGCCAATAATTCAAATACAAATTACGTAGATGAGATATTTCATTAATATGTTCCCATAACTTTTCTGTTTTATTAAGTACTATCTTAGGATAATCGGTTGCATTGTAAAGTGGTATTAATTTGAACGTATGTTCAAGCGTTTTATCGTAAGTTGTGTAGTTTTGAGTATGATTATCAATTGAAATAAACCAAGTCACATTATTTGGATAATTATACCCGAGTTTTCGAGCTATGCTCCTTTCAATATCATTTGGGACACAATGAAGATAATATTGTTGTGTAATTTGGCTTTGAAGATTTTCAACATTTCTAGACAACTCCAGGACAGATTTGACAATAAATATTTGAAGTGTTCTCTTCGTCTCTCCATATCCAATTGACAAGGTAATTGTTTGACTTGGCAAATTAATTTTCATTTTCACAAGACATTTCCAAGTATCTCTAGTACGGATTAGATTTATTTGTGTTTCCTTTGTTTTCTGGTCAGATTGATGTATACCATGTTTCATAATACAGAACGGTTGATCGTCAGTTTCATGTTGTGTCCAAAATGAGATATTCAAGTTAAGTGAATTGTTTTTTATAAGAAGATCCAAAGTAGAATTTTCTTTAAACGAGGACTGATTGCCACCTAACATGAGGCAATTACAATGAAAACTTATATGTAATTTATTTGATATTTGATTGGTGGTCTTTACTATTTGAATTATTCTTCGACTTATTGGTGCCATTCTATCTGGTGTGGTTACTTCACATAGTATGAATCTATTATTTACTGATTGATTAGTTTCATTTGAAGTGTTCAATAGATTTAGATCATATTTTGAAAAAGCATAAAGAACTGAAAACTTATTAAATATTTGATGTGTAGTCAAACATTCTGTTCTTTCCCATGTACTTTCATCATGAAACTGATAATGTTCTTGAAAATCAGATATGTTGGAAAGTTTTACATTTTCCTAAAAATGTAATAAATTTTAAAATGTAATTACGTTTTCATTATAACTTTTGTGTAAGCTAAAGACTAATTTATCAAACGAAACATACTTGGGAATTGGTCAGTTTTTAATTATTTACGGAAGAGTTAAATTATTTTAGTACAAGTTAGAGCAAAAAGAAACTATAAATCTACAATTTAGTTTTGTCATAGAATCACGAGACTGATAGTTCCTGGTTTCAAATCTCGCGAGGCGGGATCGTGGATGCGCACTTTTGAATCCCATGCTAGGACTAAACGACCATTCAGTGCTTTCAGGTTTTGCATGATGGTCTATCTTTAATTGATTCATGAATTGAACTATTAAAACATTATTATATTTAAGAAACTTACTTACATGATTTAAGGTTTTCCACCTAAAACATAACTTGCCTATCGGTTTATGAACAATATATTTTTGTGTATAACTACCAATACATGTTAAACGTAATACTGTGGTTTGTTGCATTACACGAAATGTTAAAAGTTCATTAGAATATTTAACAAACCAATTAATATTGTTTAGAAAAAATTCAGAATGATTTCTTATACTGACTGATTTGTATGTATTGTGTTCCATTTTATTTATCGATTGTAAATACAAATGAATTGTAGGTGCAATAACTGGTGATGGCATAGGCCATATTGGCTGAACAATACGTTGTTGATTAAATTGATTATAATTACATAACATAAATAACATTATACGTGGAAATTGTGATTTTAAAAGACATACACCAAACCGATTATCATAATAATAAAGAATTGAATGAAACTGATTTTTTTCTAATCGTTTAAATGGATACCATATTTGACGACTTGATTTATGAGGTGTTAATTGATAATCAATCCAAAATACTGAAGAATCTTCTTTAAATGTACTATTTAATCCAGGACATGGTATAAGCATAGGTTGATCACGTATAACATCCAAATGAACAGTGTTCATGTTAACTGAATTTGTATAGAGAAAAACACTACCACAATTTATTGTATTATTTCTTAATTTTATTACAACACTTGAATTATTTCTTAATTTACTTTGTTTAAATAAACATTGATCTTGTTCATACCATGGACAACATGGGCAACAAGATGGTTCATTTGGAAACCAGTTTATTATTCCCATATTTTCATAATTTAAAGATTGACAACATTGATATAATCCACGAAAATTAGTACGTAATACATTATTCTCTGGTAATTTAATTAATAGTTTACTTTGATTTTTTCTTTGATTAACTATAATTATTGGTTTAAATTTGTATGGTATAGTTGAAGGAATAAACCATTGAGTACCATATAAACAAGATAATTCTATTTCTTTATTATCTATTGGAATATCATATTTATGATCATGTTCATTTTGTTTTAATTCATAGAATAATTGATTTTTCAATGGGTTAGTAATTGATTTATTAAATAACAATAAAATTAATAAAAATTCAATTAACATATCCAAAGGTATATTGTTTAATTGTTATAATGAATAATTTGTTATTATCATTGTTAAATATTACACTGATAATTTAATTCAATCCCTTGGTTGATACATATATATACATATATAACAAATACAGAATCTAGTATCCATATAACATCATTGTTCATAATACCTGACCAATAAAGTGACATTATTAAATTTTAAATAATTGTCAAGGTTACTGCTATTATTCACGTATATATATATACATATATATATTCGATTATATTGAAATGGATATACTTGGAATAATAATAATGGAATGAGTGATGATTTTTAGTTATATAGTTTGTTTATGAAATGTGAATGAGAGATTTTGGTGTATTATTAATGACTTTTATTAACCTTTTTATAATTATTTGAATTATATATATATATATATATATATATATATATATATATATATGTAACAATATTATTTTGTAGACAAATGTTTATATTAAGAATCATATGAACTAATAAAGTCATTTTATAAATTGTAATTTATAAACGAATCAAAACTAAAATACATTGATTATTTTTGAAAGTAACTGTTTTCATCATAATAATCAAAGATGGATAGTGGCTAGCAGTGGGATCCAGGGCATGCGTTTCGTCTTATTTGGGACTCGTCAACTGGATGTATCTGCATTTCAGGGTTGATGTACACTTTGGAACCAGAACCTAGTACTGTTCACTTGAAACGCCATTACGTTATCTACTTAGCCACTAAACATCTTTGATTAAAGTGCTTGTAAATTAAGGCAATATCAAGGCAATATGCACAGTATAAACATATGCCAATAACAGACTGACCAATAACAGTCTTAAATAACAATGGGAAGATTCAAGTAAAGACAATACCAAGTGAATTAAACTTCATCCTATTTCACAAGCAAGTGGCTATCAGGACTTAATACCTAAGTAGACAACGCGATGGTGTTTAATGCGAACGGTACTGGGTTCGAGTCCCAGAGTAAACATCAACTTTGAGATGCAGGTGCATCCAGCTGATGAGTCTCAAATAGGACAAAACGTGTGTCCTGGATTCCACTGCTATCCACTATCCATCTTTGATTATAGTGCTAGTAAATTAAGGCACTATCAAGGCAATACGCACAGTATGCACATATGCCGATAACAGACTGATCAATTCAAGTCCTAAACATCAATGGGAAGATTCAAGTAAAGACAATATCAAGTGAATTGTTTTAATCATAATTCTATGATATGAACTCTGATTAGTTTAGTTAGGAAAAACAACTAGATAGAATGGTTTTTCACGACTTCGAGTTGTTATGATTTTAATGACTTTTTTTAAAAGTTTTACCGTATTTATTCTATCAGTATATATGTTTTCTATAGCAATATGGTACTATGGAGATAGTTAGGACAGACTTATTTTGTAACTAGTTTTTGCTACTATTTTCATTTCGTTCATTAATTTTCATAATGTGTACATTTACTATGAATTATTGTAAAATAGTTATTTTAAAAACTCATGACCTTGAATTTTCCGTTTTCATTTTGAATCCCCCCTATAGCATGACACACTGATTACCGCTCACAAATACACTGTTTTCAATTACCTGTTGTTATGATAAAAGAACTCTAATGTATTTACTATTTACGTTTACAGACCACAGTGATATTCTCATAATATGCTTCATCTGGATATACATCTCGAACTATAGCAATTGTGATCGTAATTATTAACTACTTATCATTGTGGATCACTAGACTAAGAGAAACTCGAATACGCCAATTCCTGACAGTTTAAGTAACGTCCAGTATATTTTTCTTGTATGTATAGATTATATTTAATATATTAATACATTAATTTTTAGACGTAATAACTTTATCATTATTTTTGGAATTTATATATTCTTGGTCCGCCACAGTACTTATAAAGTTAAGTCGTCAGTATTCACTATTGTGTGTAACAAATTTGTAGATATACGGAATACCACTAAATTGAAGAATACTATTAACCAATTATCTTCCAGAGAATTCATCTGAAGATAAACAAAAAAGAAGGCAAGCTTATTTTGTATGACTATAAATATTGATCAACGATTGACTAAATAGAGTTGGCCTGCATTCCTTCTCTATTGCGCATCATTTCGCACCACACTCTTCTCTTCGTTTCGTCCCTCTAACTGCCTGCCTAAATCAATGAGTGTACAAAATATACGTATTCAAAAACCCGTTCTCGTACTTGACTTATTTAATTCCGTTATTCACTAACGCGATCTAATTCGATAATAATATACGAGGATTGACGATATGTATATTTCAATGACATTCAATCATATGAGGATTGGCGACATGCATATTTGGACAGCAATTATTCATACGATCCTACTGAAATCAGATAACGGTCAACAAGAACGTTTTGGATTAGAGATGAGTTCGTATGTGAAATGCAAGCATGCTAGCCAGCAGTAAGCTGGTACTTTGTAAAAAATTCATTGTTCTCTGGGTTTGCTGTTTTTTAGGTGCAATACATTCAACAGTACTCTGTACCTTCAACAGACAAATCACTCCACCTTTAGAAGGATCACTTAACCTGAGACAACCTCATCGTCGAAACAATAATTATGTTCCAAATATTCGGTAAAACAGCGAAATGTATGTAGGGACAATACAACAATAATTGTTATTATTATTATTGTATATTTCTGACAGACAGGTACACGCTATTTTTACATGCGTGATTAATAATTTGCAACATCGGTTCACAAATAAAGTGCTTCCCAAGTAGGATTTTTAAATAGATAAGATCAATGAAAATCAGTAGCACTATATGTATGCGGATGTGCCACAAAGTTATTAATTGGGTTTACGTATTAGTAATGTACGGTGATTATAGTTCTTATGATCTGTCCCGAAAATGGCATCGCGAACACTCTGTGACCTTCAGAAACCCACAGCAGGTCCAAACCCAGAATTCGTATATTATAACGTGACACTGCTAAGTATTTATGCCATACAACTGTTTAATTTTATAGTTGTGATAAAGTAAATATAAAGGATGACACTAGATGTAACCTTGGATGACGCGTTCGTTCACTTTATTTCGAGCTTGTTTTAGGTGTAAGTGTTACTGAGCCCTAGCCAAACTTTAGCGAATGTTTGCTGTACAACTAAATGTTTTGTTTTACATCTAAATCTGTTGTAACCACGCAACTCAAATTAATTCTGCACACTCCAAATCTCAGTTCTTGCTTGTACCCCATAGAAGTTCTAGACATGGCACTGACGAAGCAGACTCGCCGTAAGAGTACCGGTGGCAAGGCACTCAGAAAACAGTTAGTCTGTTCAATACAGATATAAATAGAATTCAACACTTACAAACAGAATCTGTCATCTATACCGTCTGACTTCTACTTTAAAGCAATGGGAGTATTAACATAAGCATCTATTGATAATACACGTATCGTACTATCACTGTAGTATCATTACTCTTGCGACAAACTTAACGTTTCCGATCTTAGGAACTCAATCACTTGTGAAAGCCATCTATTTCAATGCGACTTGATAGGACTTTAAAACGTTATATTTTTTCTATTATTTCTATGGTTAACCGCTTTACATTCAACCAACGTCCTAGTAACATATTATTGCTCGTTGTTTTCCGATCAGTTTCTGCCGCCTCCTTTTCATTTGTCTTACAGCTCGGCAAAACCTGGAGGGTTCATATTAATCGTTTGGCAACCTCCGGCTCACGACTACTCCCAACATGTTTGGTACCGATTCAATTGGCCGTTCAATCTGGTGGGGGGTGTATATTAGGTCCAGTGAAATGTCACTGAGCCCTAGCCAAATCATTCAGCAGTCGGGTAACTGGACATCGAACAAGTCATCGATCCCTGTCAAAGTCAAGGATAACCAACGCACATCACTTAATCGTACGCCATGGATTAGCCCATGCGGTGATGGCCACAAATTCACTTGTACCTACTTTAACTAATATGTCTCTGTAATAACGTCCTTTTTGTTGTACGGTCTTCAAAGCGCCCATAATACCTTAATGCGGCGGGGAGTAATTCACGTTAGGTGCTGACCGTGAGGTGTGACTTCGACGTTAGCTGTTGGTCATACCATTCCCGTCTAACTCGAGTAGGACCCCAGTCATTCGACATAGATCATCAACGTTGATGGTCTATACAAGTAATTCATAAGACTGCTTTAAATTCACAAAAATCATCCATCATATCAAACCGTTTCTGTGGTATGCGCGAGGTTACTAAGTGTTGGATATTTTATCAAGCTTCATAAGGGTTACTGGAGATTTGCTCAGGTGGTTGGCGCATCATGTGCAGGCCCATAAACCAGTGGTCTCACTCCTAATATCTCTTATCTTCTCTTCTTCATATATGGTGTTTTTGCAATTAGATCTCATTTGGTTTCCATAGTCATCAACAAAGCTGATTCACTCAGCAATCACAACAGAAAAACCAAGTCAACTATCAACTTCGAGATGTGATTCCGAAGAAAACTGAGTGAAAATGGAGTTGCATCTTTTGTGTGTACCTTAAATAAAGCTAATGTCCATGTGGGTCATTTAGATGTCTAACTAGGTCGCAATATAATCACCATGCTGTCATTCTATAATGTTCATGATATAAAGGACATTTTCAAAACCTCTTGATCATATCAATTCGCGCCTATCAATTAGCGATCAAGATAATCCATGAAAGAATCAAGGCCTCCTTACGAACCTGTTTGACTAATGAAGGATATCATACTGAAAAAAAGATGACTGTTTAATGCTTACATTTTCAAAGGTTCGCTAACAGAGATTGGTTAGAGATTTTCAAATATTATAATCTCAATAAACCGTGCTGGCAAATTTCGTTCTTTCGAAAGTTCAAAAATGCGGATAGTATGGAAGTAGGACAAATACTGACATTCACAGAGAAACACAGACGTTGGAGTCACTTTTCTGGTTCGCGAGGCGAGGCGCAGATCCATAACAAATAAACAACTAGGCTGTGTCCAGTTAAACCAATGAGGTTAGCATCAATGTCGAAGGTTTGGTGAACGATTT